CAATAGCGTAGCCGAGACATTTTCCAGGTATGCGGGGAGGGAGGGGGATGCAAAATGATCTCGTCTAAAAAACAGCTAACTTTTGGCGTGGATTTTTCTACTCTTATGTTTTTCTTTCTGGCCTTATTTCAGTTCCTCCTTCCTGTTTCCATTTCCTTTCCCGTTCTCCCCCCGTTCCCTCTGGGCTATCCTGTACGTTTCCCTCAGCTACGCCACTGCATATCAGAACTTCCTTCCAGTGATTTTACTCGCTCGCTCGCTCGACAACCTTTGTTTCACTTAAACGTAAACGATATTATTCTCAAACGCTCCATTATCTGTAAGCATCTTCGCATAATGCTCCGTACAACGCCACTCGCCATCCACCAAAAACTTGAATTCATAGCGTTTTTTGTGATCGCCTCCCTCGCGATCCGCGATCAGTTCGACACGCTCCGAATCACCCTTACTGCTCGGTGTCCTGTTCGCGCAATCGCCTTCACCTGGCGCCAGTAGCTCAACGTCCAATTTAAAACCGTCTGCACAACGCTGCATCTGACGAGGTGCTTTCCAATCCCAGAAACTTNGCTTTCCAATCCCAGAAACTTCCCGATACAAGCACCTCTTTCGGTGCGTCTGCACGGCTCCAGTCGGGCACTGGCCATTTCAACTCAAAACGCACTGTCAGTTTAGTGGCGCTATCCAAGTTCTGCATATTACTTTCTGGTGCGTCTTGTAACGCGACAATATTCTCCTCTTCACTAGCGCCGTCGTCCAGTTCAGTGCCACCAGCAACACCTTGCAAATGTGTGGCTGCAGCCGGTGCTGCTGATGGAGCAGCGGAATCCGATTGCACCTTTTGCTTGGCATCGGTTGAGCCATTTGTTTGCGCGATTGTCGCATTTGGTGCCTCAGAATCGGTTGCGTCGTTTGTTTCTTCGCTGTGCAAAGAGGCATTCTGATGATGTTGAGCATTAGTTGTGAGTGTGTTTGCTTTGTGATTATATGCAGATGTTTTTTGTGACATAGCACTGTCAACATCAACTACAGCAGCAGCATCAGAACCATTAGAAGAAGGAAGACGATTGGCAGTAAGTGAAGCAGCTGCACAGTGCACGCATCTGAAACAACATTACACTAAAAGTTTCGCTTAATTTCTTGTACAACTAAATTTCTTCGGTATATTAATTTTCGCACTCATCCTCCAGATGAAATTCTTCTGAATTTTGCTGCCCAGTTTTTGTCGATTACCCAACCATTCAATAACACCTCTCAATGATGCAAAAACGAAACGTCTGGCGTTAAATAAACCTCATCATATGAACACTACACAAGCGATGAAATTCCCGATACTATGTCCCGCCAATTGCAATTCTACCAATTAAAAGACAATCTTAATCCCAGCCAGCTTGTTATTCAGATCCCCGCTGCAGTTCCTTGCCTTATTGCGGCACAAATAAGCAAGCAATAAATTAGAAAGTTATCTATCGATGATGGATGTTAGTCAGTGATTATTCGTTCAACTGCTTACAATTAGAAACCATTAACGAAGTGTGTCCAACTGGGTTATGTTCCTCATTAGAGTTAGATGCATCATCATCATTAACATGCGTGCGCAGTGCACTGGTGCAGCAGCATGAATAATCAAATAATGAACAATTAAGCGAACAACAATACTCTGCGAACACAAAAACAGGTTAGACTGGTCAATTTCTGGACTTTTCAGGGATATGGTGCATCAGGGTACGAGCATGACACGGGTTCACATCAATCAAATAAACCACTCGTCCACATAAAACACGTCCTTTTTCACTCACTCAATATTGCTCCTTCATGTTCTCAACAAATACTTCCACCGGTACATGGACTACTACCTGTTACATCATATCTACAGTGGAAACAGTAACATATTCTGCGTTATTCCAGCGAATCATCAACAATAAATTACATTCAACAGCAGTGACCGATAAATGGAATTCTTTCATTCATCAGTGTCACATTTTTTTAGAGTACATAGGAATGAGGTTTGATTTAGGTGCGGTGTGATAACGTTCAATAAACAATGAGAGAAAAGACATACACTTTCTGACAAATATTTGCTGCTGGTAAACACAATTTTTTGTAAAAACGAATCAAATTCAAAAAATACAACACATATGCAGAAGAATGCTAGTGGTGTAATGCTTTGGGATAATGATCACAGAAAGACATTCAAAACGGGATAGATCTTAAACGCACAAAATGCACAAAGTACATTGAATAAACTCGCTGAAAACATGAACACGTTAACGAAAATATTCATGGATGCCTTTTAAAATTATGATGATGTTCGTTCGAGATTGCACATCATAAGACATGCGGCATCCTCAGCGTACGAATGAGAGATTTGGCATTTGAGAGGTAGAATCATTGAAATACAATACACACGTTTTACTTGACGAATGCACGGCTGTCACCTGATGCATTTGGTTTGCTCTTACGAACAGAAACAGGGCTAAAGCAAGGCAAAATGCGGGAGAACATTATGCGAAAATTGTGCGAAACTTGCAACAGTAGGAATGCTGCAAAGAAAGCAAAAAAGCAACAAAAAAAAGGAAGTAAGTTGTCAGATTCATGGATATTTCGATTTTATTGCATTTAGAGACCCAGTCATGGAAGCAGGCTGGTGGCTTCATTGCACAGAAACTTTCGCTTAATAATCCATCAAGGAATTTTTGCATCAGATTATACTCATGAAGATACATAATAATACATGCGCCATACCAACGATTCTATTGTTTTCATTGTAAAAACTTTCAAACAGAAAACTGTCACAAAACATCTATCTGCGTTCTGTTCGATCTTGAGATCGATCAGAAATATTGTGTGAATGAATCAGGAGAATACTAGGTTTCTGATTCCAAGAATGACTTCGATTCGGGAATCACATTATGGATATACAGATACTTATGTTTACTGTGTATGCATGGGCTAATGACTTTGTTCTACGTGTTAATACATTGCATTTATCCGTCATAACGAAATTGTGTGACTGAATTCATTGAGTGCCTTAAAATCGTTAGTTTTGCTCGAATCGAGCGAATAAAGATAATTTCAAAACAAAAAAAGAAAAGAAATTAATTTGTAAGTAAATTGTGTTATGGAATCGCAATAACGAGTTCAAATCGTACATGCTGTAAGTTGTAAGATTTTCTTCGTTCTCTTTCAAGCAGATTCAAATATGAGCATTAAGAATCAAAGAATCAAAGACAAACTTCAATTCGGCGTCCTCACTGGATTCAGCTGCAGCCAGTTTGCTTTTAGCATCGGCCAAATCTTTTTCAAGCCGCGCGATTCTAAAAGAGATGGCGACAAATTATCAAGTTGGTCACCAGAATCTTCACCTCATATTGTTTCCAGTTTCTTTCCAATTCAGAAATAATTCCAATTTTTGAAACAACTAACGTTGTCTTGTGTTCGCTCTCGGCTCGATCGGCTTTCTGGAGTCGATCCTTCATTGCGGTGACGTGTTCCATTTCGCTAGCGTACAGTCCGTGCAGTTCAGCTATGTTCTTACGCAAATC